AATAGTAAACTATGTTACTCGACCTTTCCTTCCTACGTGTGGGTAGGATTTGTGACACCAAGTGCCCTAGCGTTGTTGCTAAACACGAACTCGCACTGCCGTCGTGCCACATCTTTTGGATGCATACGTACCTGCATGCCTGCGGCCAGATTAACGTGCATTCCTTGCTGTCTCAATTTATATACAAGTTAGCGAGTATACTGGCGTGACCTAGAGCGGTAAGTTCAGCATTTAATAAATGACAGGGAACAACGTAGTTGACCATCAAGGTACAATGTGACCTTGTACAAGACAACACAATTTATCAAAGATTATTGCGTGATAATGTTAGGACACTTTCGAAAACATCTAATGTACCCGGCTTGAAGAAGGTTTCTTAATTTTTTTTCTCTGTAGATGTGCAGATAAACATTATGAAGGTGAAGACCATTTTTCACTCACCAAACGCAATCAATGTGTGACAGTGGCCCTATATTCGAAACACCACAAAAAATGGTTGCATTGTGAAGGGTTGAGTAATGTCTGTTTTTTTTTTTGGGGGGGGGGGGGGGGGCACGCAGCGCTAGTACAAAACATAAAAACTAGCGACAAGACCAGTGCTGTGTATCCAAAGTTCAATAAACCCCCATTAATTAACGCGCTCTATTTCACTTTATGCCCGACCCGTTAACTGCCGAAAGGTTCGCATTAAGGTTGTTATTCTCCAGTGCGGCATAACTGCAGTGTTAATTCATAAAGTTGTTCATCACGTTGATGAAGCTTGTTCAGCAGTGAGAAACTAGCAACGATCGAATCGACGCGCGAGCTGCACGGGCTTTGGCGGAGGACGAGGTGCGAAATGGGCCCTAAGCCACATGTGCACACAAGATGTGCACGAACACTTTCCCCCTCATCCAGCCGTGATGCAGCGTGAGTTCACACGTTGGTTCACATAACCCCGAAGAAAAAAAAAATATGGCAGCATATCCACGCGCTTGCTGCTGCGGCTGTGGATAGTGGGGCGAAGCATCCGTTCGTCCAGTCGTTCTTGCTTCCATCCATCCATGCGTGCGTCTGTGTGGCCGCCCGTGCATCCATCCACCCGTCCGTGCGCGCGTCTGTTCGTGCGTCCGCACGTTCATCTGTGCGTCCGTCCCTGCTTTCGTCCATGCATCCGCTCTTGCGTCCGTCCATGCGTCTATCCGTCCGTGCAGCCATCCGTGCGTCCATCCATGCGTCTGTCTGTGTGTCCGTTCGTCCACCTATTCAACACTCCAAGTACCACCATCTCGCATCTTTTCATCATATATTCCTCATATAGAAGCACCGCCATCCAGCGGACATTCCAAGAACTCAAGAAGACGAAAGAATAGATGCCATCATTCGTAAGGCTACTAAACGAGCTCTGGATCTCCCGGTGGCCACTTCCAACGCCAAACTGAGGGCGTTAGGTGTGCTCAACTCCTACCAGGAGTTGCGGGAGGCCCACCTTATGAATCAATATACGCGGCTCGTGCAGACGGCTCCCGGGCGCCGCCTGCTAAACCGCTTACATATACAGCACACTTGCACTGCAGAGGAGGCGGAGCGTATTCCGGAACTATGGCGGCATATGCTCTCGGTCGCTCCACTCCCCAGTAACATGGATAAGCACACGCACGAAAGCAGAAGACAGGCGCGGGCTCGCACGCTTAAGAGGCAACACGGCTCCCGACCTGGTGTATTCTACGTAGATATAGCAGGGCCTTCGCCCACGGGATTTTACACGGCCTCTGTAGTTCACCGGGAAAAACATGTCAATGGGCTCTCGTTCCGAGCACAAAATCCAGAGCGCGCTGAGGAAGTCGCGATAGCGCTTGCTGCTGCGGACCCCAACTCGAAAGTTATCATCACGGACTCCCGGAAAGCATGTACTCATTACTTGGTAGGAGAGATATCCCCCCTAGCCAGCCAAATTCTAAAACGGGCTCTCGCTGATCCAGCCCCGAAACGCATCGTATGGGCTCCTGGCCATCAGGGCTTACGAGGTAATGAGGCCGCTGACGCGGCCGCCCGAGCGCTTACCCACCGGGCTCCTCACCTTGGCTCTTATGACTCGGAGGCCAATACACCGCTGCTGCGGTTCAAAGAAATCCTGACCTATTATCGTGACACTCACCGCCTTTACCCGGCTCCTGCAAAGGGGTTGAGTAAGGCGGAAGAGCGAACTCTAAGGCGCCTGCAGACAGGTACTCTACTCTGTCCTGCAATCCTAAAGCATTTCGATGCGAACACAGATGGGCGGTGCCCATACTGTGGGGAGACGTGTGATATCTTCCACATGGTATGGGCATGTCCGAAAAATCCCCACCTACCCCCTTCCCCTACCCCTTCCCGAGAGGCATGGGAGACTGCCCTCCTCAACTGCTCATCACTAGAGTCTCAACGGGCTCTAGTGAGACGGGCGCGAGTAGGGGCCTCGTCATGCGGTGTCCCGGACTAAGGACGCCGACCATGTAGCAGGGTCATGCTTTGGCCCCGTACCTCTCTCTTCTCTCTTTTATATAATAAATGTTTTTCATCATCATCATCATCCAAGAACTGAGCGAGAGGAGGCACACGCACACTTTCTTACCGCTTGCGCTTCGTGTCTACTTCCCACCTATAACCAACTCGAGTTCATGGTATATACTAGTTCACTGTATTCATGGCACTGCGGCTCAACGCTCGATAAACCTTTCTAAAACCTAGGAGGTTACGCCCAGCGAGTATAACGTAGCAACCCTTTCTTGTCTTCTGTGCGTTGTTGAACAATAAAAAATTCGCAGCGTGCCCGTTAACTAAAAGCCGAATTCTCCCGTCTCTCATTCTCCCTTAGCAGCCATTGGCATGTACATTGAGCACTATCTTTTATTGTTCAACAACGCACAGAAGAAATCTCTCACCGGCACCACCTTGGAGGTCGAAATGTTATACTTGTTACACGCTACTATAACGGCCAGGAAGGACGAACGGGTGCCGCTATAAAAAGCTTCAAATCATCAGCTCCAAATGCTGATGATCAGTACATGCAGAAGTTATATGATCACATTTTGAAGTTTAAAGAGAAAAAAAAAACCTAATAATTACTGGTGATTTTAATCTCTCACAAATAGATTGGTATCATTGGAGATATGGACATAGCCTGTCCTGTGACTTACTCATTGATATTCTGCTAAACATGAATCTCCATCAAGTTGTACATGAAAAAAAAAAAAAATCCAACTGACCCCGCAGCGTGAGTGCGTTACCGACGCACAAAGCAAGCCGGCAGTGCTTCCGACTACAGCGCTATCGCTGCGGGATTTGGAATGAGAGCCAGCTTTGAGCGGCCGGTTTTCACACGTCGCGATTGGCCTTTGTTGCTCGCCGTGGTTTCTTGTGCTTTCATGAGCTTAATACGTCCCTATGGAAAAAGGAAAGACCATACGGGAAAAACTACCTTCACGTACGTCCCCATAGAACCACTTTACGTCCCGGGCAGCTCTGGACGCCGCATTTGTTTTTCTCAGGGACCAACCGGAAGCTCCGGCAACTGAACGCATGCTCGTTCTTTGCGTGCCTGGCAGCCTGCTGGTGGCCCGGCTGTCCGAACGAGTTCCTTCGGGCAGCTGGCAGACGCCGCCGCGGTGCGCATGCCTGTGCGACCATCTTAAGTTAGACACGGGACATTTTCGACGCGCTCTTGCTCTCTCTTTGCGTTTCTGTCTGCTTCTCGCATGTTTCTGGATTTCGCGCGCTCAGTTCTTGTAATCGGTGTTGCATGTGCGTATTCCCGAATGTCGGGCAAACACGCGTTATACTCGCTAGGTATAGCGTATAGCGCTAGGTATAGCAGTAGTGGAACGACCGCGTGGGTCTGTACCTCGACCTCCTCTATAGATTGGCGACCTGCTCATACCGGTTCTCTCTACGGCTGCGCTTGACTCCAACTTTGGAGGGTCACGTGTTTACAAAAGTGTCACGAGAGGCCGCCTCAACTTAACCCCATAGCAGCTGACGCGACAACTTGAAAAGTGCGTAGCTCCGTCGGAACGGTTCCCGCGTTTCGAGTGTTCCGCGGCAGGTACAGTGAACTAGATAGTACTAGGGTGGCAAAAAAAAAAAAATCGAATGCGCAGCGTTGCTCACTTTGAATGCTTTCGCAATTTTTGCGGGACTTGTGTAGGTTAGACGGGTAAAAATGATTTATGCTGAAAAATATTTTTCCGCGGGTCTATACAATTTAGGGCTTTCTTATTCATAGAATTCTATTTGGGGATTTATTTTATTCGTACAATATATGTGCGTTTGTGTTGTAAATGCACGGTGTCAGATTTTATTGCTGTGAATTTATTGAGATATCAGATGTTTTCTTTTCGGAGAGCGTTGGGGATGAAATCTCATCTTACGTTAGCTTCGACTTTGAGCAATTACCGAGTGTCACATGCAGTTTTCTTGTTAAATCAGTTATTCACCTAAAAGAGTTACATTGATGAGAGGCTTTATGTGAAATATAAATACGGGGTTTATTAAAATGTTATTCTGGTTCCTGTAGCGAAGGCGCACTGATTTTTACTAACATCTGATGCTGGAATAATAATAACAATAACGTGCGTTGATTACATTCGGTAAAGCGGTAACGAGCACGTCGGTAACGTAGAACATGGCCATTAATGCGATTCATTTTTGTTCGCGTAACGAGTAACTTATTTAGTTTTTTTTTCTGTTCACGATGACTGGGCGTTTATGATTGATGGCCGGGTGGCTGAAGTTGAATCGTGTGACACAGGCAGAAAAGAGAGATTAAAATTTCTGCTTCAAGTATTCCAAGGACACGCATGACGTGACAATGACTTTTGCGGAGATCCGCGCGCGCTCACCCGTTCGTACGTTGCCTGCTCAACGGTGCCCGCGCTTTCTGTGCGCCCAGCGCTCCAAGCGGCATCGGTACTTTGGGGCAAGGTTTCGCCAGCCGCTTTTCACACCTCTCTATTGTAGTCGCGACGCCCGCGACTCGCGAGTCGACAGCTCGAAACGTGGCGCGTGGAAACTGAGCTAACGCGTGTGCTAGTTGCGCGGGATAGCATGTCTTTACACTCTTTGTTCTTGGTGATTGTGTGCGCCGCAGAAGCGGCAAGGTTGGACGTGTCTCGTGTGTTGCTGCCTCACCGCCTCGACGTGGTCACCAACTACACCTTGGGCGTCGTAGACGCGGACGAAAGTGGCTGCTACGAGTGGTGCGTGCTTTCTCGCTTTCCGCGGTTGTTTGTTATTGCCGTAGTACGTGCATTTAAAGTGCCGCTACTGCATGCCTTCCGCGTTTGAAAAATCTCGATGCCTCTTTCGCCTTAGCGGATGTCGCTGGGCCAGTGGCTGAGCGCGTACATGCCTCGTGCGCCACGAAAAAAAAAAAAAAAAAAAATCCCACGCATTTTGGAATCGGTGTCATGCGAAGCGGTCGGCGAGTGATTCTCCGTGCTGCATTTTCTGGCTTTAAGAGCTGAATTGACATGTTCTTGCAAGTGTGTAGGCGTGTGCTCATTGTGGGCTTACCAGGATCGTTGAATATCTATGCGTGATACAGGGTGACGATGCATAAGACGAGGACAGAGAAGAGGCGCTTGACATACGCGAGCGCTGACTTAACACTTGCAATAATAGTATTTAATTTTTTTATTCGGATACAAACAACGGCATATACATATAAGGAAACCATGACATGGCGCAAGAAACGCAGCTTTTTTTTTTTCTGGAAACGTCTTGGTATGAATTCTGTGCAGACGGCGTACACGTGATGTGTTAGTTTTTTTTTTTTTAGCTATATATGTGGTTGCTTGTCTCCCCAAAAAAATACTGTTGAGAGCATTAAGTCAGCGCTAATGTGGTCAAGTGCCTCTTCTCTGTCTTCATTCTATGCGCCTTGACTGAATCGTGGTAAACCAGCAAGCTTAGACAGCTATCCTAGTAGATTTCATTCACAATAAAAAAGTAACTCATGGTCTGACGTAACGCCGACACACATATTAGAGCACTGACCCAGCAGTACTATCAAAATGAAGTGCACATCCACAGTGCAATGATGTCAATATCATTTTTAACTTACGTTTGTTAGTGTATTCTTCTGGAGACGAGTAGCATTTGAATACAGCTTGCTGAATGGTAGCAACATGGAATGTGATGTTAATTAGGCTACTATGAAAGCAGAAGCAATAATGGAACCACTACTGACATTAACCAGACACGATGCCTATATCACAGGAGTTCATATGTTATTTTCGATGCTAATTTGATAGCCAGCACTACGAACGCAGTTGATGTTGCATTGACATTGCGCCTGCATAGGGTATTTTACAAAGCAGTTTCAAGACCTGCCGTGGCTCTTGTAGAATACCTGACTGCCTCACAGAATGCTGCGCTTTGATTCCTGCAGAGATCCCAATTTTAAATGCAAACCATTTCTTTGCATACTGCAAGCACTTCTGGCATCTATCTACGTATTTGTCAATCTATCTAGCTGCTTATGTCTGGGTGCTCTGGTGGTTACCCCCTTAATTTGTGGTGAACCAAAATTAGTATGGGAGGGTAACATGGTTTGACCAATATGAGCCACTGGTCAATACATGATTAATGTCACAATCTCGTTGCGCACATCGTCAAACACTTTCCGCCAGACAGTGGCACATACCTGCGGGTGGGTATGTGCCACAGGGCATTGACAGTATCTACCCAGGAACGGCGAGAAGACACATGGGTAATTTTAACACGTGAGCGTTAAGAAAAAGCTGACATCGGCAGCATTACCCGACAAATGCAAACAATAAAAATGTCAGGGTTTCAGCAGAAATCCAACTCCAGCATTCTGCCTGGCAATCAAGTATTCTACCACAGAGCCATGTCAGGTCTTCGAACTACTTTTCAAATAGACCCGAGTGCTCGTGAAACGTCAATTGTGGTTGCAATGCTGACTATGTAATTTTATAAACATTACATATGTATTCTTGTGATACAGCTGTCTTGCCAGTTCAACATCAATTGTAGTCAGGTGCCATACACTGAAGTTCATTTATGTAGCAGTGTCCAGGGCTACCATCCTGCGAGCACCAGCTGCTTATCCCTTGTGCTCATGTCCCTGTTGGCATCGTTGAGCAAGTGCGAATAACTGGTTATATAAACATCTGCTACTTTTCAACATATGTCTGTGCATGCAATGTTTGTACATATATTTCTCAACATTTCAATGAATGTTTCTCAATAAAAAAATTACAACACGATCACCTTCCCTCTGTATGCTTCACATAATGTCGATTCGCAAAGCACGTGGAATCTGCTTTTTTTTTCCGGCTGTAGTCTGTTTTTGTTAATGCTCGTGCCTTTAAATTACTGTTTCTTCTCGCCGTCCCCGGGTAGATGTAAACTGTCAATCGCATGTGGTGCATACCACATCTCCTGGTATATTTGCCACTCATGCTTGGTGGAAAGGGTTTGACGATGTTAGCGACCGCATCTCAACCTTATCATGTAATGACCAGACACTCATATTTGTCATACACATTCATACCAATTTTGGTCTAAACCAAGTTAAGGAGGTGATCACGAGAGCACTTGATTTAGGTGGCTAGAGAAGTACGTAGTTAGAAAAGCTAAAAGTGTTTGCAATTCAGTAAGAAATGATTAACATTTAAAAAACCCTCCGTCCTCATTGTTTCAGCAGTGTTGGTGCAGTACCCTATTTGTAAAAACCAAAGACTGCGCATGGATAACGAGCTTGCCATAGCCCTCTTATTTGAACTTGAAAGCTGTCCTGCATAGTTTAAATGCACGACTTCACCAGAGCAGACTTGAGGCAAACTTTCGCAATAACCCGTTTCACTATCTGGAGTGCCCCAAATCATAAGGTAACAAATCTTTTTGTAAACGGGCGTTGTATTGCCAACAAACATGGTCTTTTCTAAGATGTAACTTCAAATCTGAAAACTGTATGAATCCATCTGATGGCTGTTCATGAGTAATGTTCAAACCTTGTCCATGTTGGTGAAAAACAGTTGAGATGTGGTTAACGTAGTGGCCCAGGGTAAAATCCGTGTTAGTCTTCAAAATGATAAAAAAAATTGGCAGCATATATAAAACCCTCCAGAAATACCTTGTCATCAAGTACACTAAGAAAATTGTTATCAAAAGAAGCCAAAAAAACGTTGCAGAGCCCAGATGCCACACCGTGACATGTGAAGTGATGCAAACACCTTGGCGCCGTACATAAAATTTTACTTTAAAAGATACAAACATTGATTTTGAGTAAAACTTTAATAAATTCATAAAATTGAGCACAGACATCCCTGAAGAATTCTGAAATTGGACCACACTGTTTTATCAATACAACCTTGAACAGCAGCAAGTACATCTTTTAGGGGCACAGAGTCTATTAGGGATTTGCTGGAAGCTTTCCATATCAAGAGCAAGGGCACAGAGTCTGTTAATGATAGAAACATTAATTTGTTTGGCAATAAGTTCAGATTTTTCAGATCGATGCTTTATTACCTATGCTGCAGCTGCGCACATGTGCTTTAGTTGTGTCTTGTCTGCGGGTTTTCTTGAAATAAAGCCAGTTGATGTTTAGCACCCGGCCTTTCTCAGCCAGTTCTTTCTTTTTTCCCGCTTGTGCTAAAAAATGTGACCTCTGGGCTATCAACTGGTTTAACTGTTCTTGAAACAGCTAATTAGCGTGTTCAGACTTTGCAGGGAAAGGGGTTCAGAAGAGAATGCGAACAAACTTATGCACACCTCATGTCAAGAAAATTCGATGCAGGAAATTGCTTTTTGTCTTCTATAGATTAACTTAAGTGTTGCTTTGCGCACTGTCTGTCTGTGTCTGATCTTTGTGCACATATCCTACAATAAGGTATGCAAGGAACAATGCCATAATGATGCCTAATATAGTCATACCGCATGCTAGCTCCTCGTGCTGTAACTGAAGCATGGAAGCTTGTAGCTAGTGTAAGGTAGCAGCTACGGACAAGAACAGCATTCATAGGCCTAGCGTTCCACCACTGTAGACAAGCCCGATTCCGTCTTGAGGTGAAAGAAGGCAAGAAAAGTGGCAGTAAGGAAGGTGTGAGCCTAAAGTGAGAGGAAGCCAAGGAAATCCACTCTTATTCAGTTGGAGCATCATTAAGTACTTGATATATCAAACAAAAAAGCGGCGATGGCGTAGTGTTTAGAGCATCCGCCTCGCTTGCAAAAGGTCCGTGGTTCGAATCCCAATGCCGCGCAGTTCCCAACAGGATAAAAAAAAAAAAAATCTGCGTGGTGATGAAACTGCAATAATAGGCCTGGGGTGCAGCCTCACCGGTGACCACCACCGGTAATGCACTCCCTAACCAGAGAAGGATTGGCCACCCTGGTGCATTGTCAGGCCACTACGTCCCACATGCATACGTCAATTAACTCCCAGCCCTCAGTCCCCAGCAGCTGCGAAGCAACTGACCACGGCGGCGGTCAGATCTGCAACGCAGCAGAGAGTGCTAAGAACCTTTGGATCCGGACAGGCGACCACGGGAACCTGAACTTGGCAACGTTTAAATGCTAGAACCTTATTTAGTGAAGCAAGTCTAGCTGTACTATTTGAGGAGCTAGAGGGTGTTAAATGGGATATAATAGAGCTCAGTGAGGTTAGGAGAACAGATGAGGCCTATACGGTGCTACAGAATGGGCACGTCCTTTGCTATCGGGGCTTGGCTGACAGAAGAGAACTGGGAGTGGGGTTCCTAATTCACAGAAACATAGGTGGCAACATAGAGGAATACTATAGCATTACTGAAAGGGTGGTAGGTATCGCAATTAAGCTCACCACACCGAAAACGTATCACGCCAAAAACTAATGCTAAAATTTGAACACACATTAGACAAGGGGCCCGTTGGTGGATGGATAAAAAACTACCTATTCAACCGGACACAATTTGTACAAATTAACCACACCAGTTCTAAACTTATTCATGTCACCTCTGGAGTTCCTCAAGGTAGCATTTTGGCTCCTGCACTATTTCTCATCTTTATCAATGACTTACCCACCGACATCTCCGTCAACATAAGACTTTTTGTTGACGACTGTATACTCTACAAAGAAATTACTTCTCCAGTCGACCATGTTACTCTAAATAATGCACTGATGACAGTTTCCACATAGTGTGCTGACTGGCAAATGAGCCTTAATGTAAAAAAAAAAACAACAGTTCTTTTGCGA